ACTGATGATAGATCTGAGAATGAACATTGTCAAAATGACAGATTAATGTTACATAAGAACATGAAATTTTATAAAATTCGTAAATTTTGAATTGCTATAACTTTTCATTTTCTTGGTCAATTTTCACAAATCAAATTGCAGTTTATAGAAGCATATAACAAGCTCGTGGTAAAAAAAAATCAAATGTAACAGACATTGCGAAGTACCCAAAATTAATAAAATAAAAACTAACACCATAAAACGAATGGCACGCATAGACTAATAATTGAGCGCATGGAGTAATAATTGACGGCTGTCCTCGCAACTAGTATCGGTTTGTCGATGCCACAGTAAAGATCAAAGGACTGTACGCACGCGCTATGTTCGAGAGCGGAGATGTGCGTCCTTTTGTTGAATTACCTTGGTACAACTCCCAGCAACTTGATTTGATATTATTTACTATGATTTACCAGGTGCTACCTATAATATATTGGCTCCATTATGTGTCGTACAACTAAAATAAGGAACTTTCGTTAATAAGGTATGTTTGATACAATTTATACCACCATGTTCCTATATATTTGAGCACTAAATTGTTATCTATTTTATTTATACATTAGGCCTATTTGAGTTTTCATAGTTAAGCAGCAACTTTAAAAAAAAAAAGCAAAAGTCTTACCTTACGAAATTTCGATTAAACAATATTGTTGGGAATTAATAACAAAAATGATTCTAGGTGTACGATATTGTAGGTCTCGTATCTCTTGTGAATGTAACTACTATAAAAAAAATGCAAGTTATATATATAATAGCGCTGTTCAAACATAATTTAAATACAATTCACAATTCATTCCATCTTTACATGTAGGCCTATATATTGTGTTGACAATAAATTACAATGTAAATTATATATATCGAAGTTCAAGTGTACAATAAAAATTCTGCAAAGCATCAAGTATTTTTATTTGCCATTCGATTTATAATGCAAATTCATTTCCAAGTAGGCAACTTAATAATCACTGATTTAGACCCTATGTTTTGTTAGGACCCAAGCCAAAATATTGACATAGCTTTGTTTATTATTTAACTCTAGTAATTATCTTAAATCATGGAGTATGACCCCTCAGTCAAATACTAACAATTGGTATATAAATAAATTTATTTATACAGTAGAACTCCTACTAATGAGACACATTCGGGACTGAAAAGAATGTCCCCTTAACAGAGATGACCCAAGGGGACACTAACCAAAATTGTCTCCTTAATATTCATTATAATTTTATTTCAGTTGACCTTAGAACAAGTTACAATTATATAGAAATTAAAGTTAAACTTCATTGTAACAATAATTTGTAATGCAAAGACAATACATATATAATGGAAGAAAAGAACTAATTTGATTAAAACAACAAAAGTTGTATAATTATATTCCAGATTCTAGTGCTATGACAGCAGATACAGTAGAATACAGTAATGACTTGGAAACCAGGGCGAGGGTTACGATATGTATCCATATGAAAGTATATACACAAGAAAATTTAATACCATGATTAAAAGCCAAATAGATAAAGGTAAGCATAAAAAGTCCCATAATCAGTTTATTGACCTGGGTGTTTATCTACACTCTTTTGTAAAGTATGAGTTTGTAATAAAGAATGATGATGATGATGATGATATATATATAGGCCTATATGAGTGAATAGTGAGGGTGTGACGGCCATCCAAGTTTTATAACTGGTAAACATAGCATTTCGATTTTGATTTTACATTAGAACTTTATATTTCTTATTAAATGTAACGATTGTAATAATAATAAGCATGATAAAGATTATATAAAGCACATGAAACACACAACTCAGGTCTTTGGGGAGAATTCCGTTATGTTGCAGTTGTAATCAGCTAATTTTGTATTTGTGAACATACGGTACCCATGTACTCCTGGGTAGAGAGATAAAACTATTGATAACGTACATGCTCAGTAACTGTTTCCTCATTTATGACTTTGTCTTTTCATACCAAACAATCCATGATGATGACGCTCACATAATGTGATAACAAAATTCAAACGGAATCTTTGATCTTATTTTCAGTGTTAGTTATATTGTAACGTTTCACCGATTGTGCAATGTTTGTCGAGGACGCCAAGAACGTAGGGGTTCTACCTCAGCGACTTCACAGGAAGAATAATACTAGTATGACCATGGAGAAAATATAACTATGATATGACAGGGCTACAGTACCAAATTTCTCTTGTGGCCACCCACTGGAATTGGAATCACGGAATTACAAATTATGCATTCGGATACGATGTGGACTATAGTAGCCTAACGTAGGAAAACAATCAGTAGTGTAGTAAATTCAGATATACTTTGAACGGGGAACACGAACAACAAGAATACCTTAAAATCTGATTATATCATCATGTGTGGACCTCTGGGTATTCTAATTATTTTCACCCCTTTGGGCTGCTGTCAAAGGGGTATTTTTGTTACACTACTCGATCCTTAACTGGTTCGTCCTTTGAACCCAGTGACTATTAACACCTTATATTGATTTGCATAATTATTCGATGATTTGATAGCATGAAATGAAACACCACATAAGCCTAACCCAAGAGGTCTAAGATGTTCTTAGGCTTTTCCTTTAGGGTGTATTAGGAGCGCCAGAGGGTCAATTGGACAGGGGTTCCAAGTCTACCGCAACTTACGAGAGTCTCCCTGAAATCGTGACGGACACCCGCAAACAACCATGATTCTCACGAAAATTAACCCATCTCCGCAAATTCATAATAATTGCATGTTTTCATTACTTTTTTTTCAATTTCCTTACTAAGTACTAAGCCGGTGCCGATCGGTATCAATATGTGCAGTGAATTAAAAATAAATGTGTTAAGAGAGCTCATTGGTCTGATCAGTGTGGATTAAAGGGGGACAGGCCAGCCCGGGTTCCCCATATTTTTCAAAATTATAACAAAAATGGAGTAGAAAAGAAATTAGTATTAACATTTAAGTCTAAAAGTGCCATTTCCGGCCATCTAGAGGTACCATAATCATAAATGTTCTTGCCTCTTATAGTTTTATTCAAATTTTTTATCAATTTTAAAATTACATAGATCTATAAACTATAACATGGACCATTATTTTTTAATCTTTTCTTTTCATTTGTTGACCAATAGTAATTTATAAAACAATGAAAATAAAACATTTCTACTTTTCTAAATATAAATCACATTTTCTATTTTTATATAATCGTTTCTAGGCAGTGTTACCGTATTTCCTAGTTATCATAATTTTTTTTGTATCTCATATTATTATTAGTGTAAAATGTATCTTTATACTAAAATATAATAGACAATGAAAAGAAATGATGTAGGCCTACCTGTATACGGTAGTTTAATATTTTTTTCTTAATTTCAGTGAAATACACAAAAGCACACAAAAACGTGAATTTATAATCGTTATTTAAAAAAAAAATCCCTGTTCTGGTGATAAGCAGGGTCTATATTATATCGCTAGGCCCAGGCTGCGCTCGTAAGGCTGGACCCTCCCCCACCCCTTAAGTTTTACCCTGGCTGCGCCCCTGGGTTATTCTAATTATCATTGTCACCCTTCTGGGCTTCTCTATCAAAAGGCTATTTTTTCATTTCTCCCTCCTTGACTGGTTTGTCCCTACAACCCCTTTTATTGATTTGCATTTATTCGGTGATTTGACAGCATGAAATAAAACACCAAATAAGCCTAAATCAAGAGGTCTAAGATGCTCATAGGCTCTTCCTTGGGGATAGAGGAGCCCAAGATGGTCATAATATTTGTATGTTTTTCACTGCTTTATTATCAATTTTCTCACGAAATTAAGTATTAAGAAAATGCCGATGGATATCACTTATGTGCAGCAAAATAAAATTAAATGTGTTAAGAAAGCTTATTATCAGTGACGGATTCAAGGAAAAGGGGGATTAGAAAAGAAAAATTATATTCAAATTTAAGTCAGAGAGTGCCGTTTCCGGCCGGCTATCTAAAGGTGGCATATTCCATAATCATAAATGTTTAAGAAAAAATTCTTTTATCGATTTTAAAATGCATAGATCTATAAACTATGCCACCGATTTTTTTCTTTTGTTGACCAATGGTCAATTCAACAATCAAAATATATAAAACTTACTCTACTTACTTTTCTAAATAATATAAATCTAACTTGCTAGGCTTAACAATACATTATACCAAATTCAACTTATCCTTTAATACTTGTATTCCACTCATTATGACTTTCATGTCTATTGCGATGATGTTGTTGTGTTGTAAACATTTTGTCTTCTTATTCCAAATAGCCTGTGATGCAAGAACACTTTGAAAACAGATGCGTGTGCCGTGCAGTTTTCTGTGACATTACATACTGTACATAAAGGTGATTCACTTATTTTATATTGAAAACGCTTTTTATTGTTAATAAGGATTAATTGCATTCATAGCAGTAATTTTAAATTAAACTGTCTTATTTAATTTTGTATATTATTATTTATTAGTAGGCCTATGATTATTCATATTACAAATTTAAAGCCCGTCATGATTATTCTGAACGAAATTTAAGTCTGCGAATTGGAATATATATATAGGTCTATAATGATTTTTTTCAAATATTAAGAACCAATCTAATACATTCTAAGAAAAATGCTTCTGAAAAATAGATTCCTTTTGGTATTTTTTAATCTTTGGATATAGGTTTACAGTATATATATTTTTATTGGCATCCACCTCCTCCCCCTCTCGATAAATTTATATTTAGCTTAAGGCCAGAGAAAATACACAATTTATCAGCCGTGTTTAAGGCTGTTGCAATACTTTTATCATATCGTCGGCATAGCGCTATTTTCCCGATTGCTATCTTTCATATGAATTCCTTTTATAGCTTGATTATTTATCAATAACAGGTATTTCAGCTGAAATTATAAATAAAATCGCAGATATGGGGGGTTGGGGGCACCCTGGCTAATACCTCAGTGTAGGGGAATTGTTCGTCAATACACTGCGCCTTCCTTCAGAAGTTCATTGAGTATTTTCGATTTCCAGACAGCGCCACCAACGACGGATTCAAATTCAAAGCTCTTATCACATGCATAGGCCCTACTTTTAATTGCATTTGCATTTTTCATTATCTTTTTTTTTTAATGAATTTTATTTTTACTTTTGTTCTGTTGTATGGTCGAACCTCTCAGTAAGGTCCAAATTGTGCTTTTAGACCACCACATTAAATAATAACCTTATTTGGATAGGAAAATTAATTTTGTTGAGACAACCTGCCGGATGAAAGTGTACCATATATTAATGTGTTGGTAAAAAGAAACAAGAATAGTTCATAATTATTACTGAATTGGCAAATATATGTTTGGACTAGTAGGTGCTAGGTAAAGTTTGGTTTCCATACAATAGGTACACGCTATCGCCGCCAGCTTTCGGTGATGCTGATTGGTTGCTCGAATTGGGGAGCCTTTCCCGATTGCTTCAGGAACTGCTACGCAGTACAATTGCACCTAAAACACTTATTTAAGGAAACCAGACTATAGAGCCCTGTCCACTGATACGAGATCCCTCCATCCCAATGTTACATGACCTCTGAATATGACATATATAGATGTGATGGTCTAAGGACAGCAGAAAATATTTGACAAGAGGCCAAAAAAATGCATTTCTTAAGCAGTGACTTTGAAATCAGGATCGATTGGGCGGTCGGAATTGTTTTTTTGTAGGTGTATGCCTAACTTTAGTGTTTGAATTACCCAATATATTTTGGTTGTTAAAAGAACATTCCACAGCCTAAAATCAGCTACATAAATAACTTGAAAAAAACCCCCAAAAAACAACACTAGATTTTCAAGAGTTTGGGTCAGTCACGTCATATGTGCAACACAATTTCTTTTGGCCTAACGTGAGCCAAGCTAAAATACAAGATAAATTTTTAGTTAACATATAAAAAGAAACAAGGCATTCAGATTGGTGGTTCACTAATTTCTATATCAATTTTATTATTCATGAATTAAGAATCTCGCTTACTTGATTCTATTCCTACAATCAAAACATACACGATTATTTCTTAAGCTCTGTCCACACTATCAAATTTTCTTTGACAAAAAACTGTTGTATGCCCATATATAGTCATGATGTGCCTATATATGGTCATGATGTGATGTCATCATGACCATATTTAGGCATGTCACATGTTTTTTGTCAAATAAAAGTTGATAGTCTGGACAGGGCTTTAAATATATTATCTTCAACATTGCGTGCAAAATAGGAGTTTAAAAAACTGATAGCATATGTACAACAGAAAATATCTTTTAAAATTCTTCTTGTTTCTCTAGAAATGGAAGTCACCTCTAAGCACATTTAAATATATTAGTAATTATAAAACAATTAAATTGATTGTTGTGGATACGCAAGTGCTTTACTGGTGGTACTATAAATTTACTTGTACATAATATCTTCTTATGTTTCAAAAATTATCATATAAGTTAAATTGTTATGTTAATATACATATTTAGAAAAATATTAAATCTATTGATTTTACTAATAGACTAGTGCATGATTATTAGTACAGTAATATAGACTACAAGCAGATGTGGACATCCTTCTGCAATTTTACAACCTTTCCCAGAGAATGATACCAACCGTATGTCTTAACTACAATTAGGAGGTCACCATGGCATCACCTGAACTGTCCAACTTATCTTCTTTAATTTCAAAATTGGGCTTCCTGATTGGTCGGCAGGATGCTCCTCGCAAGTGACGGCGTACATCAGCTGCACGTGTGAACTCGCGTCCACATATAAGACAAGTACGCGTGAATGCGCCGACATGAGTGGTCAAGTGCACCCGCAGGTGACTGGCTTCGTTGAAAGTTTCATCGCAATATGAGCATTTATGCGTCATTGTGGTTTCGAAGTGTATACACCGGTGCATCAGCATCTGCTGTGCATGGTTGAAGTTCTTCCCGCAGATGTCACAAACTTTACTCATACTGATTTCGCCTTCTTCCAGAGCCTTCATCCCCGAGTCATCCTCACCATCAGATTCTGCAGTCAGTATCACCGAGACCTCATCATCACCCTCTTCCCTCTCATCATCTTCCCCAATCATATCTTCATCTCCATCAACATAACTCTGAATCTTCTCAACCAATAAACCAGCTGCATCATCCTCATCCTCATTATCGTCGTCATCTTCTGCTACCACTGAGCAGGATAGGAGGACTTTTTCGTACTCTGCATCCAATGGCTCTTCTTTGATTATGATGTTGTTACTTTCTTTGGGCAAAACTCTAAAAACCTCATTATCCATTATTTCATTCTCATTTTTTTGTTTGACAGAATCCAGCTGAGAGAAACACTCGCTCATACTGGAGTCGATGTTCTGGAGCATGGTACCGGGAGTGATCTCCCCATCTTCGTTGATTTCTTCATCACGAACCAGCAGTCCTTTCTCAGTTTGCTGTTTGAATGTAATGTTGTGACACAGATGGAGATGAGTAGCCAAGCTTGACCGCTGACCGAAACTTTTACCGCACAAGTGGCAACAGATCATGTGACCAGTATGTGTGTGCTGATGTTCTTTGAGGCTAGCCAACGTGTAATAAGATTTATTACACTGAGCGCACTTGTACTTTGGTAAGCTGGTGTGGCGAAGCTGGTGAATCCGGAGTTCTCTGTGACGATGGAACTGTTTGTCGCAGACTTTACAGATAAACGGCTTGATCTTAGCATGAGTCTGGCGATGTTCTTTCATATGGTGATGGTACTTGTAAGTTTTCCCGCAAACATTGCATGGGAAGCGACCTTGATCATTCCTTCCAGGAAAGTCCTTTGCACCACCTTCACCAACATATTCCGTGTGGAAGCGATTCATGTGTTTACGGAGGACGTCTGGATTTCGGAATGTCTTGTTGCAGATTCCACATTCACATATGGTCTGGCTCGTGGATGCTTCACTAGCGGCATCTCCTCTGATGTTCTTTAGCATTTCAAATTTAGAATCTTCAGGCGTTTCAGCATTCACTGCTGGATAGTTGCTGGCTTGTGTCGAATCACCGGCAGGAAGAATGGCCTTCAACTTAGAATTTGGTGAAACACGCTTCCTGGATGGAGTTTTATCAGCAGAGGAAGTGGATATTTGGGAAGAAGGCAGCTGAGGCTTCGCCATCATAACATAGTTATTTAAAACCTGCATCGATCCTGATTGAACCTGCGAGTTTGCAATCACATTGCCCACCGGTTGGAGCTGGAATAGGTTGCTGTTTGGTATCAAATTGCCCTTTTCATCAACCATTTGGATCTGCATCGGGGTTGGTGTAACTGTGCTGCTCTTCGTGTTCACTTGCATTTGGATGGGTTGTGTAAGTATAGCTGTTGGTACTGGCGTGGTGGGGGGATTAGTATTTGTCACCTTGGATTCAGACACCTTCACTTCTACACATCCATCGTCATTTTCTGAGCCAAACTGTGTTTGTTTTTCTGAAACTGTAGTTCCTCTACCATCAACGATACGTTCAAAGTTACACGATTTCAGCACGCCAGTTCTATCAAACTCTTTAAGGAGCTCCCCAGAAGCGTAGTATTGCCCCTTCTTTGTGCTGTCATATTTAACCAACAGAAACACCTCACATCTTGTCTGGATATACAATTCATGAGCCTAAAAGACAGACAAAAATAGAAAAGTGAATTATGCAAAAATGTGTGCTTATTACAGTATGTCATATAGTATACATAGCAAATTAGTACAATGGCATATCCATTTTCGTGTAACCCTTTGCGATCAAAGAGTGTAATATAGAAACTATACTTATGCCATGTGAAATAGTATTGTTTAGGAAATGGCCAGTTGCCAAGACACTAAAACGAATATGAGATGACTTTAGTTGCTTCTGGGACATTAGGTTAACAGTAATGATCTAGTTCAAAACCTCATATTGAAAAAGGTTTATAAGTCATCCAAATGTTTTTCCCAACTGATCCCAAAAATTGGCTGCCATCTAAGTTATGTATATAGAGGCTGAAATCGATGATGAAAATACTAATAAAAAAAGAGGATTTTTTATTATTTTTTCAGACGAGGAGGTATGAAAGGATAGTAGTTAAGCTACAGTAGGCCTAGGTGAACAATTGACCGGATAGCACAGTTGAGTTTTTTTTTTTTGCAATTTGCAAATTTGATTCATTGTAGGAGTGTTATAAAATCTGGTTGGTAAGCATTAACTAGGTATGAACATCTAGCATATATTCATATTGGCCTACTGTAGGTCTACATTAATAATTTTGGTAAGACACTTTTAAAACCAAAAACAGGTTTTCTTGTTGTTTCAAACATAACATTTCACCAAACAAATTAATCATACAAATCAAATCTGTTGGAATTCAGATGATGCTCTACGTCCTAAAACGACGGCCCACAAACTATGGGCCGCTACCAAATTTTGGGCCGCAAAACATTTTTGTAGGGCTGCGAATTCATCCAGGAGAAAAATAGTTATGATTTTGTAAACTGCTTCATTGATAGAGCAATTAAGCAGTTTATATAAAATGTTGTCACTAGAACAGATAATGATGTCAAATTATTTTAACATAAGAACATGGAGATAATTTTCATGATCAGAGCTTCTTGCTACATTTTTGGTGCAGCTGGGCCAAGACTTGGTGCCTATAATCTCAAATAGAGTAGGCCGTGAGATAAAAAGTTCAGAATAATAATTTAAACTGGAAATGCTCCTTTTAGGTTGCACAGTAAAAGCATAGCCTCCCCACATGATTTTCCTCTGAGAATTGATGGGTAGTAGTTTGAAACCAATCAGTCTTACCTAACTTTAGCTTTCGTGGCAACAGATAATTCAAATAAGAACATATCAATAACAAAAAAATAATAAACAATAATACAATTTAGTCATGATGACTGCAGGCAGCCACTTGTTACCAAATTACCTTCATGAAAATTGTCTTTTTGAGATGATCCAGGACCCAGGCTCTGAGCATGTCATTTTGTATATACTGCATGATGCCACAGTTCCCTTAGGTGTGATGTTACCTAATCTGAAAAAAAAAAAAAAAAATGTATTGTTAATACCAATCAAAGATCTTATAATTACAAGATAGTTTGCAAATTCTGTCATAATCTCAGTGTCACTGTACAGCGCCCTCTTGCTTTCATGGGTGGCTCTTATGCTAGCGGCATAATAAGGGTCTCCCAGATGCATTTCTCTCTTTTCAATATCTTCAGTACTGTGATACTGTTATATTTTCTGTATTTGCTTTTATTACTTTGGATCAAATAAACATGTCTGAGTTCGAGTCTAAGCTCCAACCCCTATGGGCCCTAGTGGCTCGGTAAAGATTTACTATACTTATTTTGACAAATGGTAATAAAACAGTTCTTAAGCCCTGTCCAGTCTATCAAATTTTATTTGACAAAAATACATGACATGCCTAAATATGGTCATGTCATCATGACCATATATAGGCACATTATGACTACATATAGGCATAAAACAGTTTTTTGTCAAATAAAATTTGATGGCCTGGACAGAACTTTTTTCAGTCGATCAAATCAACAGCTACCAATATAGCTACAAGCATTGCTTTTTTTGATAGGATTGACTTTGGGTTGTTAAAACACTAAAATTACACTCCGATAATATCTATGTTGAGCCATTATACTGTAATATAATTAATTAATAATAATAATAATAATAATAACAGACATTTATATTGCCATAACAATATAATTAATAATAATAATAATAATAATAATAATAATAATAATTATATATTGCGCCAAATGTTTATCAAATGCGAAGCGGACTTTTCAATATGTTTCTCCTCCCCGAGGGTCACTTCATGTCCTCTGCAGCCGGTAAACCGGTGCACTTTCATCTGTCCACGACAGGGGCCTATTGGACCGATACACCGTTGTAACCCTATACTCGTCTAGAAAGATGTACCGGGCACATGGGCATTTGTGTACTGGGCCTATGGTTTATAGTCCTTATCCGAGAAGACTTGTTCCACCACCAGAACTAGGAATTAGCCGGCCACGAACCTGGTGCCCCTGCCTTAACAGCTTGGCAATTTGACTTTTTTTTTATTGTCCATCATTGTTATTGCTATATCAGTTTAAACACACCACCTGTGATTACTAGTACTGTATATACTCGCGTAAAGACAAGGCTTAAAATAGCAAATTACTATTAAAAAAATGGGATTGTTCTATACGTGCGACATACAAATTTTAGATTTTTTAAAATCCTGTTCGTCTTTTGTGTGGATCGTCCGTATTCACATAAATTTACTACTGCAACGAAGCTACTAAAATGTTAGTAGGCCTATGAATGAACGCAATTTTAAATACGGGGAAATCAAATTTTGATGAATATTTAAATCTCATAAAATGGAACTATTTGGAAGATTAGCCTTGCATTTGCCCTCCATTTTTAGCCAGCTAGATGCAGTATCAAAACTATAAAAAAATCAGCAAAAGTATGAATTCCAACATTTCAAAGGGGGGGGTCGTCTTATATGCCCGACATACAAAATTCGTCCAAAATTCTTCTCCAAACTCGGGGGTCGTCTTATACCTTATATAAGCGAGTATATACGGTAATAATAAGGCCAAATAACAAAAAATACTTGTTTCTCGTCCAGGTTTTTTCAAAAAGTTGGTGAGGGAGGCACTTGTTATTTGTTTTGTTTTTTTGCGCGTCATAAAATACATAAAAACGCATCTGATTTTCTTGATAGTAGTGCATACAGTCATACAAACAAAGAGTCATACAGTAAAGCACCCAGAGGACATGACAGCAAATAAAACACACATGGTACAGTATGGAATTTATTTATGTTTTATTGAAAAAAGCAATGTAACAGAAATATGAAATACCCTATAGTGTACATATTATATATTGCAAACTTTCTCATAAGAAAGCTTGGTTAATGAACATTTAACTCTTTCCCAAACACTGTCCTTCATGTATGATTTTTCTGTAAGGTGAAATAATGACTGCGACAAATGCACAAGATCCTCTCGTTTCAGCACCTTTTTGCATGTTTGTGTGCTTCTGGGTTTTGATAGCCTGTGAAGTGTTCAAAAAGTTGTGGGACACCACACCCCCTGTCTGCAAGGCACCATGGTGACAATCAATGCCCCACATGACACTAGTAAGAGTGTTGATAAACCCCTTCCCAGTGGTATTCGCATTTCCGTTCATCCATCCAAGAGAGAGGGAATATAACCAGTCCACCATGTCATTCCGCATTTTTAGCAGGCCATTTTTCCTTTCTACTGGCTGTTTTTCTGGCAACATCCACTTTGGTTTCGCTGCTGCCATCATAATACCAAAGGCATTTCTAAGAGGCTGAACATTCTGTATGAAAAAAATTGTAAAAGTAGGAGCTTATTGTATAAAAAATGGCCACCTTGCATTGTGATTCTTCATAAACAGAAAAAGCAGAATATCATTTTTACAATAAAAAAAAATTACCTCTACTATATGCTGTCTTTTTGCTATGTTGAAGTCAATGAATATCCCTATTCTCGTTGCTGTCTGGATTTTCTCAGTATCTGGGATACTTATATCTTGTGCCTCCTTTGAGGTGCCAACACTCACTTCAAGCTGTTAAAAACAATTTTGCATTTTTATCTCAACATATATACTGGAATTAATTGGCAATGTGGAAAGGTAAATGTGAAGGCAAATGCCAAGAGGTTGGGGCATGGGGGACAGGGGCCTAGGCCTACCGCCGATCGCGGCCCGTCTAGGCCTTTACTAGCTAGCCTAGACCTGGGTATACAATGCTTAAAGCTCTATAAATATGTTCATAATAGACGGTTTTTAACAACTTTACTTTTCGAAGAGTTTTGGAGAACGTTTAAGTTTATTACCTAGGGCCTAGGCCTGTATTCCAATAGGGAACCTCCAAAATATCGTCAAGCTTACTACCTGGCCAAGCAAGGCGGCTAGGCCTGTGACAGTGTGACTCACCGTTTCAGTGTCGTACAAAATGTCATCTAACGGCTCCTCTGCTGAGTTTATAGCACCATAGAATCGTTCATTAAACATTTCTTTCAATGAAAAGTCATTGCTTTCTTCGATAGTTTTGGACCATCAACATCGGAGAACCTTTAGAGTCGGTTCTAATACGACTTACTGTCAACATTTTGACATGTCTAAAATCCACTGTTTTGCTGAGCCACGCTGTAGAGCCCTTTCTGTAAAAGATTTCTTGCGTTTGTAAACTTCAAAACACGTCAAAATCGGCTTATCGTTACCATACCACTATCGTGCTTGTGGAGTTTTCGTGGTTTCGGTCTAGAAAATGCGTCAGATATCGTCATTTCAAGTTTTTTCAGAAACAAAAAACAAAATTTTGACAAATAACAAATAACAAAAAAATCGACGCGGGCAGGGACGGGAAACAAGTGATTTTTGTTACTTGGCCTAAAGTACTACTTGATTTTTATAAGTTTGGCATTAAAAACATTTTTTATTTTTGGTAATAGTTCAGGATATAGTTTGTGATTGGGGATACAATAAATATTTTGTTTGTTGTGTTAAAGAAATCTTTGCCTTTTGATTGGTTAACATTTTAATCAAGTTGTTTCAAATTGAATTGTAATATATGTTTATTTTGATTTGGGAAAAGTGCTGAGAATATTGTCAAAAAAATAAATAAATGTACGTCATATTCCCTTGCAAAAATATGTCATACACTGGAAAGTTTAAACTTTTTCTTAAATCACAATTACAATTTTCAAATATTTTTTTAATAAAATAATGATGTCTCCTGTACACTGTTTTCTAGTCGGAGGCATTGTTAATAATACTATAAAAAAGAAACACAAGACGATGGCATGGATGACATCTACCTATATACTTGTCTCAATCGTAAATATTACAAAATTAAATTTGTTTGAAAGAATAAATGTATCATAGTATTCAATGCATCTGCTCTGACAATTAATTTAATATCACACTGATTTTGCGGACTGCACCATCATCACATCAGCCTTCTTAATAATTAATATGTATGATTCCTTTAAAAAACTTCAGCAGATAAAACAAGTATTATAATTATTATTTTTAAATCATGGTTTTGTAATGTAAGCCAATAATTTGAAATAATAGACTGGGTTTTCTATGGCTAGGCTCTAGGCCTCATCCAATCAAGAGCATCTCTAGGCCAGGCTAGCTACCACCAGAAATAGGCTAGGCCTAGCCAGTGGTTAGAGATGTGTTTAGTTACAACAAGGCTAGGCCTAGTCTATTCCCGTATTTTGATGCTAAATAACGTCATTTGATCGAGCATCAAGTGTATGCAGAATGGCCACTTATTTATGTCATGTATTTATTCGATTTCTATATGTGTATTAAATTGTGATCTTTACATGAAAAATTTATGCTGCTGTGGCCTATCCCATTTCGTAGTCGATAAATTGTCGACAATACTTGACCTTTTTCATGATGACACGGTCTGCCGCAAAGTACTCGTGGGATGGATTCAATTATTCATATTCGGAGTCGTTAAAACAAGTAAATTATAGGTAACAACTAACACCAGTTATGTATTTAACTTGCACTCCCAATATCTTAAAATTACAGGTGGTTTGTTTCATACAAATTCGAGATATAAAACCAAGTCTAGGCCCATCCTTTTTCGCAACGATAGCTGATCATAACGCGACCCAGTGCGCAGTGACTCGCTCAAAGACGCGAAATAGGGCCGTACAGCGTTGGCGTTCGCGCCGCACGGCCATTGACGATCATGCACAGTGTGTGTAATGCAATGCAATCAACTCAACACACCTCCACGGCCCTAGTAACTAAAATTGGGTGTTTAACGAAGTCCTGGTTATAAACCGAAACAGTAAATGGCATTAACTTCAAGAAGACATAAGTACTGTCTACAAAACTTTATGACAAAACAAATTAATTGTGAGTTAAATGCTTACCAACTGCGCTTACAAAAGCGGGCTCGGGGAAAAGGACGCCTCAGCTCTCGCCACTTCCTACGTAGCGTGTTATATGGCGCCCTCTTAAATGACACATACTGCGTTTTGAAAAACATGCAAATTCGAAGCTAATATTGTACGTGCGTGCAGGACATGCATATTTATATTTATATAACTTATAAAACTTTCTATACAAAGTTTTGGGACTTAAGTGGTACTTAATTACAATGTATTTAAGTATAGATAGAATACACACCACTATTATAACTAATCATAGTTTTTGTTTTATTTCGGTTCATGTGGTTAGTTTTCATGTAGGGCCACATCAATTATCATGGCCCAAACGAATCGTCAGGTTTATTTATTTTCTGGTCATTCTTGGCCACGTCCCTCCCCTTAAAAAAATAAAAAAGATTAAAATAAGTAGTTTTATATTAAAGAAAATAAGAAGAAACATCTATAGGGCTATGTTAGGCCTATATATATTCTATAAATAAATGATGATACAATAGAGATCGACTTTAAAACCGTATTTCGGTAAGGATATAATAATACATTTTGTTTACATCATATTCAGGAATACTATGGTAAGTCATGTATATAGGAATTAGAATGAGAGTGATATTGTAATGAGTTATTTGTTTGTTCAGTGACGGATTTCCCCAAGCAGTGTAAAGGGCTTCTTTTATTTTAAGTTGATAAGTAGATATAAATAATTATAGTCTGTAATTGGCGACAATTGATTGAATATAAGAATTAACAAGATCTTTAAGTCTTGTACCTTTATTCATTATACAATAGAGCTACGAATAGAAGCCCTGGGCTTTTGGATGGGCTTCTTTTCGAGGCTACTTTTGCAAAGGAAAGTTGTTGGTGGGGGGGGGGGGGTCGTCTTTTCAAATGAATGTTGTAAATACCACTATTAAACAATAAATAGTGCCACTGTATCATCAGTCTGTATCATAGAGTGTATTACCCAGCATTAAATCACCTAAACTACTGAAATAAGCAAGCATGTTTTTACTTTATTTTGTTTGTTTGAAATTCATATACAGTGTATGTACTGTATTATCTCGAGTCTACTTTTGCAAACTAAAGTGGGGGGGGGGGGCCTTCAATTCGAGATTTGCTTCTTCTCGAGATTAAGCCTATTTGGACTATTTGAGGTTTTATGGTATGTTTTTTTCTTTAACATTCAATAACATTCTAAAACATTCAAAATTATTTTATATTATAGCATTACCACGTGGTTTAAAGTTTATATCTATTATATCATATATATATATATATATATATATATATATATATATATTTATGGCATCTGTGTATGTGTGTTATGTAATCATACATATATAGTCAACTAGTCAACACAAGTAGCTCTGATTATAAAACAATATTTAATACCAAAACAGTTTCCATGAATCATAGAAATATATATATATCTATAACAATATTTAATATATAAATTCATTTTGTATGAATTAAAGAATTATTACTATATATTCAAAATGTTGTTCTACCCAACAGTTGGTGATCTCAATTAATTCCTGAGGTAGATATTAAAACCATTGGTGAGTCTGAATCATGGCTTCCTAAATAGTAGGGTTCAATAAAATTGAATGCATACAGCATTGTCCTACTGATTTTTACATACTTTGTGTGAGTGCATGCTGACCGGATCGTTCTAAAGGAACAATCCGTCACACAACGCACCTTGGCAGTTTCGTGGAATGCCAACACCAAAAGAGTGCACACCACGCCATGAAATTACACTGAGCTTGACTTGAAAAGTGGATTGTAGTAGGCTGTAGACTCATCACTATGACTGTATACTCATAAACAAAATTAAGAATATTCATAGTAGACTATAGACTCATTATATTAGACTGTAGACTTTTGGCTCATATTAGACTGCAGTTTTGATGAACTATGGACTCATCATCATAGACTGTCACCTAGTGTTTCAGCACTATAGACCCTTCATAGTAGACTGTCATGTAGCGTTTCAGCTTGCGTCTTAAGTATCTTCATTTCTTCTTCTATTATATCGGTTAATTTTTTACGTACCACTACCTAGAATGAGAAAAGTAAACTGACATGAACAAGTTGGCAAGTCTAATACACTCTAGTTTCTCGGGTATAAGCCCGTCCCCCTTCTTTACCTCTTATTTCATGTGTCAGTGTTTCACCAGGCAAAAGCGCAGAGTGTGATTTGAATGAGTAGCTCAGATGACACTTACAAATACCATACTTAAACAAAACAAGAATGACTTTGAATTGGGCAAATATTTGCCTTTTTCTTAGAACTATGTTTTTTTTTTGTTTTTTTTTCAAGGGATGCTCTGAATATTAGCCCAATTTTATGTTCAAGGGTGGGATGGGGTGAGCTTAAACACAATAAAATATGGTATATCTTTCACGTTATTACTGACATTAATTATCTTAAATAGTTATAAAATCCTTTGAATACTGTATATATTCGCGACGAGGCTTAAAATAACAAATTACGATAAAAAACCAGGGGGTCATCTTATATGAATGACATACAAATTTTAGATGTTTAAAATCTTGATCGTTGTATTGGCCGATTGTCCATAACACGCGAAGTTATATACTGCAATGAAGCTACTAAATGTTAGTATGGATGAACGCAATTTTAAAATACGGAGAAAAAAGATGTTGGTAAACATTTAAAGACTCATAAAATGGTATTATTTGGAAGATTAGCCTAGCATTTGGCTCCGTTTTTAGCCAGCTAGATGCAGTATCAGGACCAAAAATAGCAGAAAAAAGTAAAATTTGACCATGGAACAGGGGGTCGTTTTATATCCCGACATATAAAAATCGTCCAAAAATCTCGTTGAACCTGTGATTTGTCTCATACATGGGTCGCCTTATACACGAATATATACAGTATGTTTGAGTACCGGTAATAATATATGCAAGCATGTAGGCATTTTCTTAGTGATTAAAAATAATTTGATCGAATACTTACTGGACATAAATTTCTTTTTTTCATTCCTTGAAGAATTTCTTTAAGATCTATTGGTTCTCCAAAAACGATTGTCACCTTGTTCCCGATCCTTGGAATATATGGTGCTCTGTTAGGTAAGATATCATCCATTCCTTGATGCCAGAAAGGTAGTACTATAGGAAATTTATTGCACTCAGCAATGGCTCTACCAATTCCTTGAGATGGAAATCAAAAGCAAAATCATAATCATGTTTAAAATAATAATAATAATAACAGTAATACATTTCACCCTCCAATTCGAGAAACCTCTAATTCTAAGACCACATTTTTAAAAGAACCACAAAACAATCGTCAATCATTTAACACTAACCCTCTTTATGAAGATTGAACCCAAGACCACTTTAAATTTTCAGGTCCCAAAGGGACACCCTACTAGGGGGACACTTTTTTTGGCCCAGAAACACTACAGCCAACCCCCCATTAAGGACACATTCTTTGGTCCTAAATGTGTCCTATTATTAGAGGTGCTACTGTAATAATAACTTAGTATTGTAATATTATTATTGAGATAATTATAATAATTAGTAATAATAATGATTATGATATAAATGTGTTAAATAGTACATATCAAACCAACTGCTTCTGTGTGCTTCACATCCAAATGGGAATAAAGATAACCGAATTTTGATGTCATCAACTCGCACCCATTCTAATCATGAGTTTCATTATGTCTTAATTTGATTAACTAAATATTATGAGCTTTGGTTGTTAACTTATGTGTGTTGATGGAGTCAAAAAGCAGCTTTAATGATTTTATATTGGGCAGCAAGTACTGCATTGTACGTTAGGAAAATTTAACTAGGAGGTAAAAGATTGGTGGTCTATGTGGTACCAGGCTAGTAATTCTAGAAGTCGTGGTTCGATTCTTTCATAAGCACTTTTCCATTCACTTGTTACATAATTACTGGATGGATGGTTGTCAGTTGCGCAAATTTATGGATGATGCAAACCTCAGTTTTTGACTACTGGACCCTGGGATGGGCAGGCAAGCAACTCACAGTAACACTCTGAAATTAGAGAATGCTCACCCCATTTAAATCTTGAGAATTCTCTTGTCATGTTAATCTTTCCTAAAAATGAAACAAAAAAGAAATGTTTTAAGTTGAGAATGGAAACAAAAAAAAAAAAATTAAAATGTAATGTTCATTCTCATTGTAATACGCAATCATCATCCTCCTCATTCTCATGATGATGACGATCATCATCATCATTCTCCTCTACAATCAATCATGACTATCATCTTCCTTCACTTCATCCTCCACCTTAAAATCTTGAGTAAGATCAACAACATTCTCCTTTAAAAATCATCATCATCATCACCACCCTTAAGTTCAGTTGAATGACCGCACGGTTAGGCAGAAGAGCTTCTAACATCAGCACTCCCTCCCCCATGGTATTCGGTTTATAGAACCATCTTTTCAGTTTAGTACTGTACTTAAAACTGAAGGTCCAAAGTGTACACGTCTGCCTCATGTCCACTTTAAAGGGTTCCTTCAGAAGAGTATGGCTTTACGTACCCCAGAGCAGTGCACTACTTCATTTCAGCCCCTGTCATTATGTAATAATGTGAGCATGATATTACTATTAAGTGCCTTTGTATGACTGTTACAGCATTCAAGGACTAATAATCTTTATCATTACCTTCAGCAAAAAAATGAAGCCATTCCCCATTGTTGAGCTTTTCAATTCCAAAATCGAGAGCTTTCTGATAAACACCATCTCCTGTACAAAAATGCAACAGTACTGGGATAAACATACTCACTCAAGAGACAATGGCACATATGCTCATAACATTTTAATGTGAATACTAACCAATCATGTGAACGCATTCATATATCAATTTGCATATCATGATACCAACAAACATATTTAAAAATTACCTGCTTTAATCAATCCATTAACAAAATTTCAGACATAGTAAACAAATAGGTATGTAAACTAAAATGTAGTCCATAATGATGTATTATTACTGTATAGGCCTATCGATAATGTCAATCTAACATTTAGAAAAGGAAACAGAGAGCACAGGTTCAGTTTTGGAATCTACCTCAGTAAAAGAATTTGTAATTTGGACAGGCAAACTTAACAATGTCCACACTATAATAAGAACTGTTGTATGCCCATATATAGTCATAATGTGCCTATAAAAGGTCACGATGTGATGTCACAGGTTTTTGTCATATGAAATTTGATAGTCTGGACAGGACTTATGGTATGTGCCTTATGCACCTTTACCCTCTGGATTCATCACTGCTCTTGCAGCCCACTCAAGTATAGCGACTACTATCTAGACCAAAAAAAAACACAGGCTACCATTTGACTGAACAATACTCAATTTAATGATTCACTAAGTTTAAAGCCTGGTTCTCATGAGAGCCCTAGTATCCAGATAGGGAGCTAACCGTTAGCACCTGTGTGAGAATGCCAGATCGCTTAGTGCTAACCGTTAGCACGTTGGGCGTGTTTCTATCATCAACCAATCACACATACGCGTTTACAATTTTCAGTTTCTTGTTGGCCAGTGATTCGATCATCATATTTTTGGTATCCGGATCGGGATTTTCTCGTATGGACTTACGGCAACTAACAGTTAGCAGGATCTGGATCCTGCTAACCGTTAGCAGCCGTATGAGAACATAGCCTATGTGTGTGTACATTTCATGTCTAGATCTTACCTCTTACAGTAGGAATGCCTTTACCCATGTGAAAGAAATATGTATGCCTCAATGTCTCAAAACACAACTCGCTTGCTGGAAGGCCCCTGTTAAAATAAATCATTAAATATGATCTAATGTTATTGAAATTTCAACATTATCAGTTCAAAAAAGCCACTATCAATTTGTATATACAGTATATAAATGTTTTATAGTATATTGTTGTGTATAGTAAACTATACATATAAAATGCAACTAATATGACTATTATATGCCACTTGTGCTAATTTACTATAATTAAAATTTTTATTATAAGGTAATTTGCGATTTGAGCTTTTTGTCGTTTATCATGCCATATATGGGTTCTTCTTTTTCCTTTTCTCCTTTTTTGATACTTTTTTGTTCTGTTTAATATTTTACTTCTGTTTATATTCTTAACTTTGTTAAGAAAACTGGACCATTTTGAAAAGCAGTACTGCATTACTGAAAATGCTATCCAGTCAAAAGAAAGAATAAATAAATAGTAAAACCTGGATTAGACAATTCAAATTCAAATTTTCATCATGCATTCTTCTTGTTTAGAATTCCAATAATTTTGTATATTGGTTGCCAAAGTTGATATTGTATTGAATATGCTGTGCATTTCTTTTTATGAATTAATATATAATTACCTGTATGCTCCCGAAACTGTTTTTTTTTATTTTATTTTCAAATAAAATCTATGTTTCAAAGTAGTCACCTTTTGAATCTGTATCCGTTAACAGTTAGAAGATTAAGAGGTGACCTTATTGAAGCATTCAGAATTATTACAAATAAAGAGAATATTGACAGCTCTACTTTTTTTTCATCTAACCCTGCTAGCATTACTCGTGGCCACAAATACAAGGTGTATAAGCCGTCTATGAACAAAGGTCTAGAAATCAGGAAGAACTTCTTCAACTACAGGATCATTAAGCATTGGAACAATCTTCCGTCTAACATTGTTGAAGCAACATCAGTAACTATATTTAAAAAGCGACTGGACCAACACTGGTTGAACAAGGATGCGGAGACCATATTGGGCAGTATGGCATAAATGACTGTGGGTCTCAAGAGGCTGAATAGCCTATTCAATTACACCCACACCCAAATAAGTTGTAAGTTGAAGAATGTTATTTCTTTTTCGTCTACTTATTTTATATAATATCGAAGTATACGTGGATAGAATATCTTTTGATCATCACCAACATGTTATATACTTTTGCAGATATTGACATTGTGGTAGACCAGAACTGTTGTTTTGAAAGGTATTCTGCAGTATATAGGAAGAGACAATCAACACTACTCCCCCTGTCTCTTATACACATCTAGTTGTGTATAAGAGACAGTTTACAATTTGTACATTTGTAAACACGACCCTTGCAATCTCGCCCCCACCCTACACATTCTCACTCAACTCTTACTGCACTGACTACTACCCTTGATTCATGGCTTCATGAAACTAACAATAAAAATCTTACTGGCACTCTATTCATCGACCTTAAAAAAGCTTTCGACACTGTTGATCATAATACACTAATTGCTAAATTACCATATTTTGGTTTCTCTCCTCTAACAATCACCTGGTTACAAAGTTACCTTTCTTCTAGATCTCAGCATGTTCTTTTTAGTCACACATTATCTTCTCCTAGTCTTGCACTACTGGTGTCCCTCAGGGATCAACATTAGGCCCCCTCTTGTTCACTATTTACATTAACGACCTGCCTTTAACACTTACTAAACTCTGATCCTAATGTTCATATCGATATGTATGCTGATGATACAATAATTTATTACAGCAATACTTCTGTTAAACTCATTAAACAAAAACTAAACTCTACCCTTCATCTTCTATCTTCATAGTTAAAATCTAACAAGTTAACTCTTAACATTCAAAAAACTAAATCTATGCTACTTGGTTCTCCGCACAAACTAAAATCCGCTAATAACAATCTTAATCTTCATCTTGATAACCATCCAATTCTATCTGTTACGTCCCACAAACACTTAGGCGTAATTATTGATAACACTCTAACATGGAAGTCTCACACATCTTCTCTTTGTAAGAAACTTAACTCTATTGTCTATCTTCTTGCACGAACCTCACAATTTACTAATGATTCTACCCTTCAAATACTTTACAATTCTTTGTTTCTCTCTCGCCTTGACTATTGCTCAGTTTGGGGATCAAAATCTACCTCATTATCTAAAGTTCAGAAGATCCAGAACAGAGCCATTCATATCTTACTGAAACTTCCTCCTACCACTCACCTTACTCCCACTCATTTCAGATCTGCTAATACCCTTGCCCTTCAACTCCGATTTCAATTTCAACTCTGCTGTTTAACTTACAAAGCTCTTCATAACCTTGCTCCACAAACTCTTTGTCAATGCCTTAAAAAGATTTTTGCCAATGGCCGTATGACCACAAGAAAAATCACTAAAGGTGATCTAATTCCTAAGCCTAATCTAGAAATCTTTAAAACTTCATTCAGCTATAATGCTCCTTATATCTACAACTCTCTTCCACCGATTGTCCGTTCTACTTTCTCTTTCTCTTCTTTCAAATCCAACCTTCTTAGCTATCTTTCATCCAATCTTGTGTAATTTTCCCTGTGGCCATCTCTTTTTGTTGCAATAATTTTATTCGTGATTTTGTTCTGTTTTAAATTGTAAATGATTTATCTTTTATAATCTTTTATAATTTTTCTATTTTTGTTAGTTCAATTAATTATCTTCTCATTAATTCTTTTGATTTATTTTTTATTTCAATTATTATTCTGTCCAATATGTCAATTTTTTTTAAATTTAATTTTTTTTAAATTTTAATGTTTTTCCTTAAATCATTATTATATATAATTTATATACTGTAGGCCCATAATTTTTTTTTCTGATTTTTATTATTATTATTATTATTATTAATTTTTTCCTGGTTTAATTTAATTAATTTGCTTATGTTAAAGATCAAAAACAACATGATATACATAACATGCCAATATCAAAAATGTACAAAGGGCACGAGTGCTAGGGCTAGCTACATGTAACATAGCACACCTAATGAAGCGTGCAGCAGAGTGTGTATCCCAACAAACAACAACGACCATGTGCACATTCTATGACGTCATTATTTGTAGAGGGCAGTATAGATGTGTATAAGAGACAGGCTCAGGCTGGATGGACCACCCTCACAAAATATTGTTGAAATAAAATAAATAAATAAACAATTTGAATTTCAATGTACATTATGTCTAATTTGAACACCCGACCTATGTACACAAACATTTTATTACTTAAACAAAACATGAATAGGCATACTGATCCATTTTTAGTAATGCCTCAGTGAATTAAGTATTCATGTAGACCAAAGTTACTGCACGACCATTTTTTATATCTTTAATAAAACTAATTTCTCCTAATTTTTAACACATTTTCCCCTGAATTTGTGATAATTTAGACCTGGGCTAAATGTGTGACAAATTTATGATCACGCACGTGTTTCTGAAAAATGCGTGATTCAATCAAAATCACTTTGAAATGCGGGACCGTCCTGCACAATGCGAGGCAGTTGGTAACTATGCGTAAAACAATTGATACAAGCACAACTGAGATAGGATTTCCAACAGCAAACTGAATCAAACTATGAAAAGTGTCCCCACAAAAACAACATGATATACATAACATGCCAATATCAAAAATGTACAAAGGGCACACAATCATGAAAATGTGTATATGGTGTAAGAGTTAGAAAACAAGCATCCCCCTCAGCCTGTTTTAAATTTAAACACCCTGAGCTCTCCTTTCTGTGACTAGCTGTGAGATTGCACATGTAGCATGATATTTGTCTTTACCCCATAGAAGTGGGTCATCCAGGCAGGATGTATGGTTAGACACTGTAATCAACGGCATGTCATGAGGGCGGTGTTTGATGGCTTGATTGAGCGCAGCGATGTTCACGGTCTTCAGTGTATTCAACCAGTCTGGAACATAAACATAACATTATAATACATAACACCAACTACAGCATAATTATATTAACATTTTGAATTCACAGGTTACCTCCACCAAAGAGGTTACGTATTTAATGCTGTTTGATCGCTGTAATTATATCTATTTCATCATAAATTATTTTCATTCAAACACCTATGGAATTTGACTTGGCATTGTGGGAAAAAACACAAAAATAACAAATGATTCACCATGAAGTGAGGAAAATTAATATTAAAACTCTGTAGATAGACTATGTATATTGGGTTGGCAATAATAGGCTTAGAATTATAAACATTTTCAGTTCAATATAATTGTTCAATTCATTTTATTTTTCATTAATTGATTTTAAAAGAAAATGCACCAGTTTCCATACAATAAATATTATGTTTGGTTGTATTCAGTGATTAAAATGAGTAAAATAGACCAACAGCTGTTTTCTAATCCACAACGGGTATGACTATCATATCAATGACTAGTGCTTAATAATAACGAAGGGAACTTTTTATTTGCAATTTGGGAAAATGTACCCTATTTTTCAGAAAAAGGATAAAGGACCTATGATTCTGGAACATACCTAACCCTATTTTACACTGCAGTTTGCATGCTTGGTCGCATTTATAATAGGAAAGATGTACTGACTACTGTATGTAGGTAGGCTTAAGTAAGGCGTATGTACATCACCTTAGATCTTAGACTTTTCAACAGGGAGATGTAAAAAATATTCTCAACCTGTCCTAGAGGAAAGGCTAGCTAGGCCTAGGCTTACTCTTAAGTAGATGAAGCTGTTTATCTATTGTTCTAGCCCAACAATGAATACACAGAACACTTATTCACAGGAATTAATAGATAACAAACTTATTATTAAGCGTACTTAGCCAAAATTTGCAAATGGTAGCAACTCCAAAATGAGCCACTGCAGTTCCAAGTTTCCAAGCAAATCCTGGTTTAGCCGGATATCTCCATTGGCCAGGTTTTAAAGGCATCCTCAAATTTATTTCACATGTGTTTAAATTAAATGTTCCACAGAATTACACTTTTAACATTAGGGCCTATTGTTATTTTCTTCGTTGTCTAAAAAATTTTCCCAGGCCTATTTCGAGTGCTAGGGCTAGCTACATGTAACATAGCACACCTAATGAAGCGTGCAGCAGAGTGTGTATCCCAACAAACAACAACGACCATGTGCACATTCTATGACGTCATTATTTGTAGAGGGCAGTATTTATCTAATACAGTATAACTGTACTTTGGTATCTAAAAACAGTCGTCAGAAAAAGTTACTGTACATTTAAATATTGTACTCTCACTTTAAGTATAGTTTGTAAAATCAAAACTTGTTGTTTATTATTATTATAATATAATAATAATAATAATAATAATAATAATAATAATAATAATAATAATAATAATAATAATAATAATAATAATAATAATAATTTTTGTAACGGTGGCACAAGTCAAATGACGGGGCGTTCAAAACAATAAATTCAAATCAACTAAACAAAACAATTAAGTAATTTACCAAAAATAAATAAGAAAAAAAAGCAAAAGTGTTTTTTAATCACAAGGGG